TGGCTTCCTGATTCTGCTGACTCATCAGAGAGAGAGAGAGCCTAAACAGCGTCTCATTGGTCAACTACGTCATATCCAACTTTTCCTTATTTTGTCAATTTTCACTATTTATTTAAAATTTACTTTAGTTTAAATGAACAATTATATAGCTATGAACTTTTAATAATATCACAAACTATTTATAATAATTATATACAAAAATAATTGAAAACCTGGAAGAAAAGTAAGTCCGGGTTACATCCTCCCCTCCTAACTAGGCATACGTCCTCGTATCCTAAGTTATGGTAACTCAATTCCTACACAATCTTTACTTGAGACTCCTCTATTAGCTCACTTGGTTCTTCAATACCACTCAAAGCAGCAACAAAAGCGGTATTTAATCCTTGGAAAAAGAACTGAACCACTTGAATTAAGGGATTTTCAAAACTTGGATACGTAAGTATCTTAGGTTTCATTCTTTCTCTAGTAAAACGTCTGCACTGAGTTTCTGCATCTACGGTATCGTCTTCAGCTGAAGTACGATTAACTTCATTACACTCCCTTTCAGCAATGTCTCCCTCATTAGTAACCATTGGGGTTCCAGGAGAACAAGTGAACTCAACAGATTCTACAAGATCAGGTAAGTTTTCAACAGAAACACCCTTTCAGGTGAAAGCACTTCTTCTTCATTACTCACGGGTAAGGAACTTTCTGAAGTTACAACAAGACATTTTCTTGTCTGGTTCTACCTCAGAACTCATCCTTGGCCAGTAAAACCGAGACCGGACCAAATCCAGGGTTCTCTCCATGCCCATATGACCCATCTGGTCATGTAATTCACTCATAACAAGAGATCTGAGTTCCTCAGGTAACCCCACTTGGTAAGTTATAGATTCTCCATCCTGTCGTCTTCTGCATAAAATTCCTCCTCTTATTTCAAGGCGATCCCACTCTCTCAAATAGAAAGGGAAATCAGGAACTTCTTTTCTGACCGCTGGTGGGGGTTTTTCCCCAGATTCCAGGTACATAAGCACTTCCCTAATAACTGGATCAGACTTCTGCTTCTCAGTCAACTCCTCTTTCATCAAGTTAGGTATAACTGAAGGTACAGGTAAACAGTCCTCCTGTTCATAGCAGTTTGGTACCGCATATGGGTGAATGGCAAGAGACATAACCAAGGAATCTGCAGGATCGTTGTTCTACTGTACAAAGTGTTTTTCACATATAGCCTCCACCACATCATTATCAGTGATACCAGGAACATTGGCTTCAGCTGTGTGATATTGCACAAACTTCTCGATCCTTACGATTTCCTTTCTTGACATTTGATATTCAGACAACTCTCCATGTGGCCTTCTGGACAAGCTGTCTGCATCAATGTTCTGCTTTCCAGCTCTGTACTTCAATTTGAATTAAAAGGTTGATAAAGCAGCAAGCCATCGGTAACTAACTGCATCCAGCTTGGCTGTTGTCAACAGGTAAGTCAGGGGATTGCTATCAGTGACAACAGTAAATGAACTGCCATAAAGAAAGTCATAAAAAAAATTTCTTAAGAGCCAATAATTCAAGTTTGTGAGCTGGGTAACGGGATTCACTGCGAGATAGCCCCCTGCTGGCATATGCAATTACTCGCTGCTCGCCGTCCTGCTCCTGGTACAGAGCAGCCCCCAATCCAGAAGTGCTGGCATCTGTATGAAGGATACAAGGAAGTTTAGGGTTAGCAAAACCCAAGACAGGAGCGATGGAGAGCTTAGTAATTAAGGTCTCAAATGCCGTCTGACAAGATGTCCAATGACTGCCAAACTGCTCTTTGGGGTTGTGGTATTGACCTTCTTTTCCAGGCTTTTTGCTACCTTTCCTCAATGAAGGATAACCAGAGGTCAGCTCATTCAATGGTTTCACAATATGGGCATAGTCCTTTATAAACCTCCGATAGTAACCGGAAAATCCTAGGAAAGAACTTAGCTCCTTCAGGTTTTTAGGACATGGCCAGGTTTTTATGGCCTCAATCGTCTCAGGATCGGTTTCAACTCCATGTTCGGACACGATGTGTCCAAGATATTTCACAGAAGTTTGGAAAAACCGACATTTCTCCGGTGAAAGTTTCAGCCCATATTCCTTTAACTGAGTGAGAACTCTCAACAACCGTCTTTCGTGTTCTTCTAGAGTTTGAGAAAACACAATCAAGTCGTCTAAAAACACAAGTACTTCCTTCAAGTTGATATCTCCCATGCACTTCTCCATTAACCGTTGGAAAGTACTCGGTGCGTTGGTCACTCCTTGTGGCATCCTATTGAATTCCCAAAATCCTAAGGGACACACGAAAGCGGTTTTGGGTTTATCGGATTCCTCTACTTCGATTTGGTAATACCCCGACTTTAAGTCAAGCACGGTAAACCATTTTGAACCATTCAGAGTGGCAAATGTCTCTTCAAGGTTAGGCAGAGCGTACACATCCTTGATTGTTTGCAGATTCAACTTCCTTTAATCTATGCAAAGACAGACATCGCCATTCTTTTTCCTTACCACCACTATGGGTGAAGAGAAAGAAGACTCTGACTCACGGATAACACCGCTCGACAAGAGTTCCTGAAGATGCTTACGTACGGCTCTGAGATCTTGTGGGTGGATGGGTCTGGCTCTTTGCTTAAAGGGTGTTTCATCCTTTAGCTTGATACTATGCTTCACTTTCTGAGTCCTTCCAAAGTCCAGGTCATGCTGAGCAAAGACTTCAGGCATTTCATTAAGCCGATTAGTAATCCGGCCTTTCCACTCTTGTGACAAGGGTGAATCACCAAAGTTAACAGCAATCTTTGGCTCTTTGGACCCTTCTAGATTAACTCTCTGGGGATCAGACTTTGATAGATTTAGATTAGGTGAAAGCATAGATTCCATTGCATGAATATCAGCAACAACACACTGCCTTGGAATAGTCACATCATGGTTGGCTTCGTTAGTGAGAACCACAGGGAGACTACCTGACTTTTCAGAAGGAAGGGTATGTAAACAACACTTTACTATGACTCCGCCTGGTAAAGAAGATACAGTAGGGTGTTCCACTACAACCCATTTGTCAACTGGAGTTCCAGTTATATGACAAGTACCTTCCAAGTCAACTGTTTGACCTGCGGCCAAGATTTCAGGTATCCTGCTCTTCATCCTGACATGGCCAAGAGTGCCGGTTTCATTCCGTTTGTGCCTCAGCTCAAGAGTATATAGGATAGCCCTATAACCATACAAGGCAGGTAAGAAAGGAAAAGGTCTTGCTTTTAAATGTTCTTCATACAGGGCATCTAGAGTATTTGTTCCAACAAGAACTAAATGCTGTGTGTGTGACTTAATGTCTGGCACGATTAAAGCAACGGTGGGCACTTCAGTTTTGACACCAACGAATTCTGACGGAAAAGTTATGTTCAAGTGCACATACCCAAGGTAAGGCACAGAAAGACCATTTGCGCCTTCTACCTCAAGTAAGTCGGAAAGAGGATGAATGAGGTAATCCGAAAGATACTGCTTATGAAAAGAATTGGGAACAGTGGTAACTTGCGAACCTGTATCAATCAAGCAATGACATTCTTGCCCCGAAATATTAACTAGTGCAGTGCATTTAGTGCCAATTAGACCTTTGGGCAGTTTAACGTTCATGTTCGGATTCCTAGGGGACTGGCCACAAGTAGAAGCGTAAGTCCTGGTGGGACTAGAAAGTCTTTGTTCCAATTTGGCCCTCAATAGGAACTGGTTCTAGTTTAAATCCTCTTTCACAACAGTATTCTGAGATTCCCATATGGACTGCCTTTCTCTTAACAGCTTATGTTTCTCAGCCACAAGTTTGGGATTTGGCTCAGCAGTGCAAGAGACTACAATGTGGCCGTCTTCCCCACACTTAAAGCAGTACCATGGTCTGGGGTTTTCCATTTGTTTGCTTGCATCAGCTGTAACAGCTTCAACATTTGGTTTCTGGGGTTTCTTTTCTACTACAGAGCTTTTCCTAGCTTTAGGCTGCAGAACAAATTTTTTAGTAACTTCAGCCCTGGGAGTAAGTGTCGCCAACTGACTCTGAAGAGTGGCTATTTGTTTCCTCAGCTCTTTAGTTTCAGATGCAATTAACAACATTTCAGAAGTTTCTGATTGCCTAGCCTCATCTACCATCCATGTTCTCTGGGTATGCACTTGAACACGTTGCTTTGTCCCAGCTAAATGCTGTCTCATGCGCTTTTCTTTAGCTGCATATTTATCTTCCACAGTGCGCAACATCAATAATAGCTGCGCAAAAGAAGGCGGATTATCACGTTTCTGTTCTAGACTTAAATCTGCAATCAGATTATTGTCCCAGCAGCCCCGACAGAACTGTCTTAACAATTGCCGATCTGCTTCACTGGACAAAACGGCGCCTCTCTTAACAGCGATGGTCAAAGCAGCTTGAAGTCTGGACAGATAAACTGAAGGCTTTTCGCCTGCGTTGTGCAAAGTATTCATGAACTTAGCCAAAAGTTCATCGCCATCTTCTACAGTGCCAAATGTTGAATCAAGCAACTGCAGGTATTCGGATGGGGTAGCTTCAGGACCCAAGTGTTTTACAATATCAGAAGCTGGGGGTAGCAGACTGTCTAGAATCTTTCGTGACCCATGGAAACTAGATATTGTGGGATCTTTTAAGATACAGTCAACACTTGTACGCCATGTGTCATACTCTATCTCATTTACAGGCCTGGGAATCCTACCAGAGAAAACTCTGAGCCTAGTTGTTGAAAGTGCTTGTGTACGTACGTACTTCAGTTCTCACCACATGTTCAACAACTAATCTCTGTATATCAGGTGGGTTCAGTACAGTAGGAGAGGTAAGAATTGGGTCATTTACACAAAAGTTAGCAGACGGTGTCTGCTGTTTCTCTAGTGAACGTGGCTCACTTGTCTCACTTGTCACAGTTTTGATCTCAGGTTGGTCCTGAATGAGTTTTTCAGGAGTCTGATTTACAGCACCAGTCTCAACACATGAAGGAAGAACAGCTGAGCTCATCTCTGTTAACATTTCACTAAGCATTGTCTCAAAGTTAACACCACTTAGCTTTGCTATCTCCCTCAACCCTTTGAGGTAAGACCTAGTGGCATCCCCTCCTAAATGTTTGGTATAAACATCGGACAAGGTCTTCACTACGTAAGTGATTTCAGGATTGTCAGTCAACTTGTAAGTGTAAGGTAACATTGGATCTAAGGTCTGCATTGCACTTCCACTGCTAAACTCAACAATCAGGTTCTGATGAAATTCAGATATAGGATCTTGGATCTTCACTATATTAGATATGGACCCATGTTTCGGCAAAATCTCGATTCGTTTTTCATCCTCTGCAGTTCCAGTTGCCTCACTAACTATAACAACATTAGGGACTTTAATGCCTTTGCCAACAATTTCTTTCATTTTGTCAACAGTCTGCTTGGGCTATTTACAACTGCTTGGGTTGTTTACAGAGTTTCCAGTAATGCAAAACCATCTCCTGGCTGGCTCGCCACTAATCGTGTAGCACGGAGTACATGCTTTGTTCAGTTAAGTGTATTTTTAGGATAAGTATTTTAGGATTCACCATGTACTAACTGCGAATCAGAAAATATAGGAGGGGCTCTCTAGAGATGGGTAATCACTGGAAACTCACAAACAAGTATTATGGTTAGTATAGTACTTTTAATTAAATTTTTCCCCAAATGTATGCAATAGGCCTTTTTAAAGAAAATAATATAGAGAATAAACAAACGATGTAAATTAACAGATAAACACCAAATTTCAATATGAAATTGAAATGAAAATTAAACTGGCTTTGAGTACTCAATTAAATCTTTAGTGGTATACTCTTAGTTACCCACACAATGAATTAAACTCTTATTTTCAGGTATGCAACCCACATTCACTGTACAAAAAAATTTATATTCCTTAAAGAATCCTCTTTTGGAATTAGATTACAGTTCAGTTCAAATCTGTCCAAAACCGTTCTGATTTCAGATAAAGTTCAGATTCTCAATCACTTATCTCAACTCCAACGATGTAACAGTAATTCACTGCCCACAGTGTATCCAGAAATCCTTTCCTCTTGAATAGAAAAGCGAAAGTTTCAGTTCTTGTAAATCTTCCTAACTTTTGTCCTCTTCTTCCTTCAGATTCAAGCTGGGTGGCTCGCCATCAAAGAAACATCCAAAGCAATCCACGTAAAAAACCTGACCATATCCGGTATTTCCGTATAAAACTCAAAAATAAAATCCTTCCGAACGAAAATAATTACTGGATGCCAGCAATTTAAATCTCCCTTCTTGAATTACAACAAGAATTGAATCTTACTTAAGTTTTTTAACGTATTTTTTCCTTAATTAGGAGCTTTAACTCAAGTTCGTGATCTTCTCCGTTGCTTCCTGATTCTGCTGACTCATCAGAGAGAGAGAGAGCCTAAACAGCATCTCATTGGTCAACTATGTCATATCCAACTTTTCCTTATTTTTTAAATTTTCACTATTTATTTACAATTTACTTTAGTTTAAATGAACAATTATATAGCTATGAACTTTTAATAATATCACAAACTATTTATAATAATTATATACAAAAATAATTGAAAACCTGGAAGAAAAGTAAGTCCGGGTTACACGTTCTTTACGATACAACCAGAGATGAGGGGCGGGACGGTTAGACCACTAGAGGCGGTTTAGCCAATCACAACACACTGGGCTAGTTAAACTCTTATTTTCAGGTATGCAACCCACATTCACTGTACAAAAAATGTATATTCCTTAAATAATCCTCTTTTGGAATTAGATCACAGTTCAGTTCAAATCTGTCCAAAACCGTTCTGATTTCAGATAAAGTTCAGATTCTCAATCACTTATCTCAACTCCAACGATGTAACAGTAATTCACTGCCCACAGTGTATCCAGAAATCCTTTCCTCTTGAATAGAAAAGCGAAAGTTTCAGTTCTTGTAAATCTTCCTAACTTTTGTCCTCTTCTTCCTTCAGATTCAAGCTGGGTGGCTCGCCATCAAAGAAACATCCAAAGCAATCCACGTAAAAAACCTGACCATATCCGGTATTTCCGTATAAAACTCAAAAATAAAATCCTTCCGAACGAAAATAATTACTGGATGCCAGCAATTTAAATCTCCCTTCTTGAATTACAACAAGAATTGAATCTTACTTAAGTTTTTTAACGTATTTTTTCCTTAATTAGGAGCTTTAACTCAAGTTCGTGATCTTCTCCGTTGCTTCCTGATTCTGCTGACTCATCAGAGAGAGAGAGAGCCTAAACAGCATCTCATTGGTCAACTATGTCATATCCAACTTTTCCTTATTTTTTAAATTTTCACTATTTATTTACAATTTACTTTAGTTTAAATGAACAATTATATAGCTATGAACTTTTAATAATATCACAAACTATTTATAATAATTATATACAAAAATAATTGAAAACCTGGAAGAAAAGTAAGTCCGGGTTACACGTTCTTTACGATACAACCAGAGATGAGGGGCGGGACGGTTAGACCACTAGAGGCGGTTTAGCCAATCACAACACACTGGGCTAGCTAACCAATCAGAGCCCATCGCCTATTTCTGAGGGCAGGGCTTCAAAAACACAGGAAAAGATCAGCCCGTTTCTCAGAGAAGGGACAGGGTGGTGTGGAATAAAGGTAAATTATGTGAAAAATAATGCGTTTTTTTTTTAACTAAGCATTAACACATGTTAGACTGCACCCCATAAACACAATCAAGCCTAGAAAAAAAACAGTCAACCACCTCTTTGAGATCAATAAGTAATAAACATGTATCGATGAAGATTTTGCTATATCATGTACTGTATATCACAATATAAATATATTCATGGCACAAGTTAACACATTAGAGCAATAAAGAGATTTTGTTACGTCGTGTATATCACAATATGTAAATATATTTGAAGGACTGCTTAAAGTTATCAGCACATTAGAGCAATAAAAGAACATGCATGAATGAGAAAATAAAGTGCAGTATGTGCATGAGTTTTTGAGTGCAATCAGCCGTGAAAATAACTCATTGCAATGCTTGCACTGCAATGCACGCAAACAAAAGTCAATTTCTCAGACAACATGTGATTATGAATTCAGTTTTCTTCATGGCTTATTGTGATTGAATGGTCAGACACATAAAAATTATGTCGTAAATGTCATTTAAGTGCTCGTAAACAATTGGGGAAAATTGTGAATGTGTATCAATATTGGGTCTGTGCATTATGTCTGAATGATTGTTATCATGAAATAAAATTACTCCTATTGTGAAATAAGATTATTGGTTATATTGCCTACAACTACTCTGTCATAATTTAATCTCACTCATGTCGTTCCAAACATGCATGACATGTTTTATTCACGTCTTCTGTGGAACACAAAATAATATATCTTGAAAAAATGTCTCAGTGTTTGGAACAATTAAAGTCAATGGGGTTCACAGCTGTTTTGGTTGAACTATCCCTTTAAATCTGAGGATCAGAGAGATTGAAAAACTGTCATGTAAAACTAAATGACTGTTTCTTATGTTTAAAATGGCTACAAAAATGCTACTAAACTGTAGAAATCATTCCTTTGAGATATGAAAAGCGAACTCAGACCTACATTCCTGCACTAAGTCAAGAAGACAAAGCAAAACAGTTGGTTAGGACATATGTGGTGTATCTCCTGAGATGCTGGGAAACTCGCCTTAATAAATGTCAGTTACTGTAAATGTCAACCGTTTGACCAGACTTCACCAGCTATTATCAAGTGAGCTCTACTTTGTACCAAATCACTGCGCAGCCATTAGCGGCGCCATTAGTAACGCTTGAATGACCCACTGTAAAATGAAAATAATGGAGTGCTGTAACCTGTTAGTAAAAAATAAATTTTATATTTAATTTGCGATCTCAAATCAAGGCTGGTTAGTGAAGTCAAATGAGGAATGGAAAGATTTAAGGGGTCCATATCAAAAATGTCTCAATAGATGCCCAATTTCAGATTTTAATGCACAGATGAATGGAAGCGAACTGTAATCCCTTCTCCAAACAGCTCTGAATGTTTCTATGCTGGTTCTCTTCTTTATCTAGTCTGCTGAGTTTGCTACGCTGACTCTTTTCTGACTGAATGCCTGTCGAGACTTTCACTTTCCATTTGAGGCCTAAATCTCCCATTCAGCATTGTATTCCCACATATTTATACATGTAAAGCAAGGTGTAAATCCCACAAATCCAAAGGTCTGTGAACTTCAAATCTTAAGCAATTCCCATTCTGGCACAGAGCAGACAAATCAGCGCTTTTGTCCAACTCTGATAGAGGGATTCTGCCACTATCGCATTATGATACATTATCCTGGCCTGAGTTTGAGGAAGAAACAGTAATTTCATCTGGATTAGAGGTACTACATTTAGCACCTTGTACTGAGCTTGTTTGATTGTAGCACTTCGGAGACTAAAGCTAAGCTCTGTTCTCGTTGTTTTTCACCCGATTGCTCGTATGCAAGGTTAAACAAGGCCGCTTAGTCCCAGTAAATGGAGCTGCACTAAGGTGTCTACAGCAGAGATCTTCTCTTTATGTCAGATCTGCTCTGACCTTTTGACTCGTGAACATTCCAGTGAAGCGTGCTGATTGGACGATGACTGCGGGAAAGCAAGTGAGCCCAGGATAAGCCGAGCTCTGCTACAGTGAAAGGAAAAATAAAGCAATGGAAACTAGAGCAAACGGTTCAGGTCTTCTGGGAGGGACAACCAGTACTTAACCTTCACTTAATTTGACCCCCATCTGTGTAAAAGCAGCGGTTTGTCTACTTTCCTAAATACCTGTTTTTCACTGTGGACTCATGAGGTCATCACATGCAATGATAGGCGATTTGAGGTCATTAATCATTTTTACAATGTTGCATCATCTAAAACTGGTTTTATGATTTTATTTTTTAATTTTTATTTAAAAATGGGTTATTTTAATATATATATAATGTATGTATATATATGTGTGTGTTTTTGGTCAAATAAATGTGAAACAGTACAAACAGTA